CACTCCCGCCATCTTTGAATAGCCGGTGGTAGGTTATCAGGACTCGGAGCCGCGTGATGTTTCAAAGATTGGATTGCATTTCGAATCTGCTTCATTTGGAAGGGGGGGGGGGCTTTGGAAACAGGCCAAGCATCATACATTGGGGCTGGTGGTGTCACATGGGGCTGTGTTGGAGAGTTGCATTGAAGAGCGAAATGCTCTGCCCAGCGACCCAGTCACCTGTGAAGGTTGGTGCTCTTCGGCCGGTGGCCGAGTGGTTGGCACGTTTGCTTTCCAACCATAAGGTCACCGGTTCGAATCCGCGTAGGGGTGGGCGTCCTCGCGGTATACTCAGCCCGCGCGCGACTGGTGGTGGTCGCGCGGCAGCGAAGCGCCGTTACGGCGTATAAGCTGACACATTTCATTTTTTTTTTCATTGGTGCTCTTCGTGCCGTCTGATTCGCAAATCCTCTGGCGGATAGCATGGAAATTGTAACCAGTGGCCCTGATGATGTAAACTAGACAGCGGAAGTTACCAGCTGGTGCAACGGCTTCCATCTCATCAACTTGTTTTGACCACCAAGATTCACCATCAGAGCGAAGCCTTACTTTCAGCTGTTGCGTACTAGACCGGCGGTGTTCGTTTGCGCCAGCAGGCACCGCTCGTTGGCGATCCAGCAATTCCGAGGATCTTCCCGAGATCCAACTTTTGGGAGTGGAGCAAACGAGGGCACAGCTGGACAAACCGGCCGACAGCAAGGCTTGTTGCAGACTTGACCAGTGTTGATCAACATCCAGAGTGTGAGAGAGATCGAGATTTTCACGAAGCCTTTGTTGATACTCTTACTTCACCATTGGGTCCTCCAACTTGTAGGTGTTCAGTTGGGTGTGTTTTGACCTATGCGAACCACCGAAACGCATGCAACACTGGTACTCGTTGTGTTGCTGCTTTCCGATTCAGAGCAGACGACGCATGGCTATGAAGGTCCAATTCGCCAAAACTTAACGATTGACAATTGGTCCAGTGTCCAACTGTGAATTGCACATGGATTGTTTTTATTCTTCCAAGCCTGCTTTCGATTGACTTCCAGCTTGTTCAAGTTGGACTCTGCAACTACAATTGCGAATTCGACTTGGTTTCCATTGCCTTGCAGGTCAGTACGTTGAATCAAAATCTACAAAGAGTGCGTTTCGAGCGAAACTGCTCCGGGTGTGCGGGCTGCTGAGATGAACGACATATGCTCCTGTCGCCTGTCACACTGATTTCTCCTCTTTTCAAATATATCTCCCCGCAGTCAACAAGCAAGGAGATGCGGCCTGTTTCCCTACTGATGCTAGCATTGCTTGAAATTCGTATTTCGCACAACCGTATTCTTTCAGATCGTGGTCAGATAACTTATCTGACTTTACTAATTCTTATTCATCACATCTTTGTAATATACGTGTGTTGTCCCCATGAAACACATGCAGGCTAACCGTACCTTAACGGATTTCTAATTAAGTGATTCATGATGTACGAACATTAGAGCTGATCTCTAAGTCCCTGGCCATATTTCATCGGTGATTTGCGGTGTTAGTTTTGTCGGTATTATCGACTGGAGCACATTCATCATCCGCATGGGTGCGATGCACATTTAGACCTATATTTTGGGTAATGAGCACATCCCCCGAAAAATGTGCCTTTCTGCTGTTTCGGTGTGTATATCTGCAATGATTGCAGCTCCCAAACCACCATAGAGTAGTTCTGTCAATGTCTATGTTTGGATGGCCGAACTACCTCCTCGTGGTGCCAGCTGGGTGGTTCGGGTGTACCCCGTTCCAGCGCAGTGTTCGGCGACAATGTTCCACCTTGTGGAGCGTTGTAGTCCATCAGTTGTGCTGATTTCATGGGGAGTATTGGGCCCCTGTTTGGTGATCTACCAAACGAAAGACGCATGAACTGAATATTCACTCAGCGCCTCCCAATGGACGCGATTCCTTGAAATCGCTCGCTGCCTTGCCGGTAGGTTATTTAGCCAAAGGCTTGGGCTGGAGTCCCCTAAGTCAACTCCCTACTTCGGCTTAGACAACCGGGTAGTACCACGCCCTCTCACAGAACCATGGACTGGACTACAACGTGCTCATCAATTACTGTTTCTGCTTCTCACATTCACGCGACTTCACTACACTCCAATTGTTTGTTTGCCAACAATTCTCACTTTCCGTTACCCGATTCATGTACTCAAAAATCTGGCTGCGATTCCGATTGCGCCGCGGACCACGGATTTCAACCTATGGCTTTCCTTCGTCCCCGATTCTCGTTCCGTCTGGCGTGCCTCAACGTTCGGACGCTCATGCAGAATGGACAGGAAGCCGGTCTAGCGCGCACCCTAGATTCCCTAGACATTGATGTCTGTTGCCTTTCAGAAACCCGGTTGCAAGATCCCAGCACTGTGCTTACATTGACATCCCCCAGTGACCGCGAAGCCAGATATCACGTGCGTCTTTCTGGAGATCCAGAAGCAGCCTCAGCGGGTTTGGCTGGTGTAGGTATAGCACTAAGTGGCAAAGCTGAGGCGGCAGTACTGGACTGTTTCCCGATTAACAGCCGACTATGTGCATTTCGGCTTTGGGGTTCGTGTAGGATCAACAAGCACCGCGAAGAGAGACAACTCGTTTGTGATCTCCGTGGACGCTCCAACTGACTGTAGGGGCGACTCGGTCAAGGTCGAATTCTACCGGGATCTACGACAGCTCATGATTAATTCTACAGAATCGGATGTCGTTGTCCTTGCTGGGGATTTTAATGGACGGGTTGGTCGCCTTTTACCATACGAACGCCACCTTGGTTGTTATCATGTGCCCGATGAGAACCGCTCTGATAACGGAGAGAGGCTTTTCACATTGTGTGAAGACAGCTGTCGTCGTGCGTTGTTCTCACGACCGCGATGTGGATGGAAGAAGAGAGGGGTGGTCAAGCGATGACTTGGTTAAATTGTATGAAAGCCTTCACCTCGAAGTTGGCGTCGGCAGTTGTCTCCTGACTGTCGTTCTGTGATCCAAAACGGTCAACACGATGAACATGGCTAGGAGCAGACCTCAGTGGCGTTTGCGTTGTGAGTGTGCCTTTGTTGCATGCTTTTCTTTTATATTTTGCGGCACTATAGTTGATGTACTTTCCACCTCTAACTAACCTCTTTGATTTTAATGAATATGACGCTTTCATTTCGTCTCCCTCTGAAGTGGCGTTTGGTCTTGATACGCTTGAAATCAGCGTTAGTAGCAATTAAACTCCTCTTCTGTAACTTGGGCATATAATTTCCTCCTTCTACCGTAACACGGTTGGACCACGCGTGCTTTACGTTTGGTTTCCATAGGCGTATACGGTGACAATCTGTTCCACACATGCCACACACACATTAAGCAAGACTTGTTTCACACTTCCCAGACATATTTTGCCTGGCATCTTGAAGATGTTAACTTCTTGAACCCGATTTCTAATTGCACGAATTTTGCGCTGAGTGACGTAATAATCGATGCTGCTGATTGCGAGCAATTTACCTTAGTTTTATCAAGCACATTCGGTAAGTGTGCTATTGATGTCAGTTTCTCAAGCACTAGACCGATTCCTTTAAGCGTTCCGTTTAATACTGTTATCTGCTTTACGAGGTTGTAGATGCCAACCTCACGTATCATATTAGGCATTGAAACGGTGCTCACAATTTCGACAGCTCTCATTAGCATGCAATCTTCTGCAATCAACCTTGTATCTTGATCAGGTGCATCTAGATATTGTTGCATACCGGGTTTAACATCACTCGGCTTACAGCATGCTACCTGATGCTTGTTGACAGTTGTGTTCTTGGGAACAGATGGTTTTCTTGGGATCTTTGAGGAATCAATCGAATGGCAAAACTAACCTTTATGACCTGCTGTCAAAACTATGGAATTGCAAGAAATATGTACCCTAGGAATGTAACCACATACAAAGTGTAAAGAAATACTCGGACGAAAAATTACCAAAAGAGTTATGATTCAACAGATTGACTGCTGATTCGCACTACGAGAAATAGCGCGTACGGTCGCCGAAACTCACCGCTTTAGATTTCGGAATCTGGCATTTGCACGCTTTCGGAGAACTCCTAGGAATGCAACGCTCCACCGAAGTGAAGTAAGGGGCAGTGGTTTTGTCTATTGGCGCGTCGCACCCTCTAAACCACCTAGTTTTTAAACGGACGTATAAACTTTTCTCTAGAGCGAACACTGGCCTAGATGAAGACCACCTCTTCCTGGAGCACTGCCACCGTGTCATTCACTGGAACTGAACAGTGCCGAATCATCCAGCTGGCACCACGATTAGGTTGTTCGGGAAGCCAGTCAGAATGCGGTAGTATCTAATAAAAATCCCCATTCCAAGATATTGTATGATGTAATGCCCGAGAGGTGAAGCTTTTCTGACAATCTGACACCTTGGACGCATTGCGTTCGTGATTAGAACAGGCATTGTATTCGCTGCATGGTGTTCGCCACGGTAAACATGAGTATCGGAAATTTGGATTGACTCAGCTAGCGCCTGCCGAATCTGAAGTTGCCAGATTTCGAATCACGTTTACTGAAGTTGTTCTACTTTATCAGATTGTTACTGATATAGGCCTTCTGTAACGTTCATCTTCGTTCCAAGCTATCTGTGCACACTTCCGACACTTGTTCGCAGTGCTTTGTCCAGGTTGGTTCGCTTTTATTTTCTGCCTACACTTTGTTGCAATGCTCTGAGGTCTAAGATGCAATTTTTCAGCCGTATGTGGAGCAGTCATTTGAAGGGGTTGATACACGTGTTGCAGATTTTTGGTTCTTTTTACATCGGAGCTATGCACAAATATTAGTGGGTTCACCTGAAGCATTTTCCACAAGGTGTGGTAGAACTATTGCTTCTTCCTCTCCATCAGTTCGTCAACCGTGGAACATACGAGTTTATTTTCGGTGACCCGTTCTTGATTGCACCATGGGTTTACCATTTCAATTTGTTCTACTTTCTTTTACAGATCAACCAGCATACGTGTGCGAGTATTGCAAGAAATCTTTTTCCCAAAATGTTTCTCTCCAATCTCACATAACCTCCGTCCACTTGAGTAAGTTTTTCCCGGAATGAATTGTTGGCCTCTACTTTCTGTCCTGTTTATAACGAAATAACAATGTCTAATTTTGACATGTATTATCTCGGAGTGTCTTCTGTGCAAAACGTCAAGAATATGTGCCCGGTGATCTTCAGCGGTGGTCAGTGGTCGCTTACTCAACCCGGATGCCAATGTACATTATAACGAGCCAATATATGAGAAGCTCATAAGGGGAAAACGCGAGGACTGGTAATCCTCAGCAGAAGCATCCTTACTGCTATCCACTCTGTTCGATCCGGCATATGGGTCGCCGTTGATTACTCTGCAACAGTCTGAGCATCAAGGAATTATTTGAAAACAATGTCATTGTTTATTATTGTGTTGTCAGGATCGTACCAGGTTGTCCTCCCCTCGACGGGTATTAAGCATCCGCTACCCATGAACGCCGCGATACAGTTTCGAGACATGAGTTGGGCCTACAGGGGATCTCACAGAAAGCTGACTGACCCAGTTCGTCATCCATGATGCAGGTTGCTGCGCTATCCATGGCATCTGACGGAGTCAGTTTCTCATTTTGACGCGGTTACGGCCTGGCAGTCGAGACCACTAGCCGGTTTGAATCTGTAGACAAGGGACATCAATCAGCCCAGCAACGCGCAGCCGACGGTGAGCACATGTGACCTATGAAGTTACCAATACTTGTCCCTAGTACAATCCGGTGTAGCAGGTCTAGTTTTCTGTTTGTTTCGTCTTGTTTCGTGGCGCCCCAAGCACGAGGAGAGGTCTTTCAACGTTACAACAATAAGAGAACAATTAGATTCTCAGCCATGGATTTTGATTCAAAAATCTGACTACAATTCAGCGGGCTTTTATCTTTGGCTTCGCTGAGCCAATTTGTAGAGTATGGAGCCACCGTCCCTCCAATCCTCAACCTGCAAGATCAAGAAACTGTTTTTGTCAGGCCTATAACCATTGACGAATTTGGTAGTTGCGGCTCTTAAGATACAACTGCACCACTCAACATAGCGCATGAGGTCGCTAAGGCTTGGAAACCTTCGTTCTACTCTTAAATCCATTCTGTTCGCGATGTGACAACTCCCAAACGTACCAGCATCACTGGACAAATTGGCTCTGTCATTAGTTTTGTGTTATGGTTTTCTTCCTCGAAATGCAACGTCCTTCTTCCAGATTGGCTGGGACCCACCCCTCTTCTGACCTTCGGCGGTGAGAAACTACTTGTCTTCCAGAAATTCAAGTATCAGCGCTGGTAGCCTCGAAGGTGAGATCACAAGTCGTAGTATAGCGAAAGCTCGAAGCACTTTTGCCACTTGGCGTGGTATCGCGATGTCACTATTGTTCTGACGTGCAAAGTTTATAATGCAGCCGTGCGTTCAGCCCTATTATACGTTTTCGCGACGTGGCCCGTCAAGTTGCCTAACATAATGTGTCTCCTTAGGTTCGATCATCTCAGTTTTCGCAGCTTGGCTTGTGCTTGGTGAGCAATGAACACGTTCGGATTGGCGTATTTGATGCAGGACGAGCGAGTGAACTGTCTAGCACTGTTATCTCACACACAAAGCTAAGATGGCTGGTCCACGTGTTGTGAATTCCATCACACCGACTCCCGCGACGTACGTTGTTTCCGCGACCGGGATATGGATGGAAGAAGGGTACTTCAGGCCAAGCGATCGCTTGATCAAGATGAACGCATTCCCTCAATTGGTGCATCCCTACTGCCGGCCTGTGATCCCAAGGACGATGAACACGTTTGGTTGGATACACTTGCTGATATGACGAGGAGCTGACCTCAATGACGTGTGGGTTGTGAGCTTTTTTGCCTGCTCCCCTCCCATTTACCATCTTATCCCAGATGCATAATTTGATATTTAGCATTACGTTACCTGCTTTTAAAGTTTGTTTACTCTTTTGTTTTTTTCAATCTTCTTTTAATGTTACACATTAGCTGAGGTGTGTTTCTCACCCTCAGCTGACGTGTATTAATACTGACGCTGGTGATTTGTTGTTTGTAGCTTTGTTACCTGAGGTGCTCATATGTCTAGCCTGGTGAACCCTGCTACCTGGCTATTTCGGCTGTATTGGATTGCGGGATTAGATGTTCACAAATGGCATCTTCCATTTCTTTGGTTACCATTTTGCAACTGTTCTCCAATATTAATACCTGAACACCTCTGGACTGCACCTTACAATCCTTCAGTTAATGGTGTGCTGAACCGGTTTACTCGGTCTCCCCAGCAGACTCTGCTGAGTGGCACACAACGTTCTGACCGTGCGTGTTAAGACTTCCATGTCAGTGTGGAATTCCTCCTTATAGCTGATTACAGGTGGTCTCTACGCACCAAACTCAGTGCTGAACACAACTTGTCCTCGGTTGTGAGCTCCAACAGTCCATAACTCCACACCGACTTGCCGTAATTTTGGCGCTAAATCGCTACTCGATCCTATTAATCTTTTTGTCAGGGCTGTGTTGGATTAGCGCTGTCGCCAGTTCAGCTATGATAGTCTACAGTACTTAGAATTCCGAATGTGTACAGATGATCTGGGCGCCACAAACATATAGTATGTATACTGCTAAAAACTTCTATTCTGCTTGCTAGACTATATTCGCTCAATTTTTCTAAATGTGCTTGGTCTTCCTGTAAGACTATCTGCTTTCATCTCTCTGACTTCCATCTCTTCGCACCATCGACCCTAGTTGGCAGCGCTGTCATCAGGTTTGTCTATGTGTGCACACTACATGCTAACTCAAAGAACCACATTGGAGATGTCCTTAGGTAATTTTGAAAGTTGGCTAATTTAACTGGCGTATCTTCAGTGGGGTAACAAATCTTATTGCTTAGCTGATTTTCAGTTGCTGTTTTAGTCTTACGCCTCACACATGTACTGCGCAGAAGTTGGTAGGTTTTTAAGCAGATTTACTTCTATTTACTTATAACACATAGACCTAACGTTTTTTCAATATTCGACACTGTTTTATAACCATATGGTGCTTTATTATTTAATGTCGCGCCCGTCTGATAACATTATGTTTTCTGTTGCAGAACAGCGAAATCACAAGTGCGAATTATGTGGAAAGACATTTTCTTTAAGGACATGTCTCCGGACGCACATAAAACTGGTTCACTTAAGTGAGTTCATCGTTCAATGCACCGTCAGGCCATAGCACATTTTAGCGAATCAAGCTTTTGCAATTATGTGATATTTGTGAGTAACAGCTGCGTTTTTAACTCGGCACTGTGTCCGTGAATTTTACTTGTTTAAGTCGATAACGAAGGCTAGAGACTAAACTAGCTGTCGCAAATTGTCGGGTGGGAAGTCAGCTGATTCTACTTCGGTCATTATTAGAGGATGCTTTGCGCAATGTACTTGTGTATGTTATACTCAATCTTTAATGGCATATCACACAACGGTGGCAGGAGCACTGTCGATACGGGGTCTGATTTTTGGTACTGATCTCGTGTTTCCACCTTCCTTGCTACTGGCAGCCTAGTATATGCACTATGCATGTTCGGATGTGCAACTCAAACGACGAAGTTTTGCATGTTTAGACCAATTAGATGCGGATTGAAAGCGATATGAACGAAGGCCTCCAACAACCTCCGTTAGGTCCCATCCACTATTGATGTCTACCCAAGGTATCTACATGTTCCACTGTCCGTTCACGGCAGCATATATGGAAAACGCAACGCGGTGTAGACAAGTTGCTTACTGGAGAACCCATGTCTAGATGGCTTAACCGTTCTGAGCTAGAAACCCAATTCCATTTGCGCACTTTTTCGGTGGTTCCGTTCGGACTCCTCGCTTCGCTTCACACTTTCATACACAGCGTATTAGTGATGGTTTATTTGTGCAGTACACGCCTTTCGTCTCCCATGATCTATGATTTCTCTGCATTGGTTTTTCTTTTAAGATACTAACTGATCGATTTCATCCAGTTCACAATGATCCTTCCAGAGCGCTCTGTTTCTCTTCTATTCATTCGCAATTCAGAATTTTATTCTTCCTCAAATCCTCGCATCGTACTACTGTTTTGCCTTATCTCTCACTTTTGCTTGTTGACCCAGCGAAACTCACTAACACGCTGCGCCAGCAGTTGTTAGACTAACAGTTTTGCGCATTTCCCATTTTCTCCCCAAGTATGTATATTAATATGTATTAATATGTATATTAATATCATCATCCAAGTGCACGTGGTGATGATGTAAACGCTGAAAATGAACCCTTTAGGGTTCACAAAGCTTATTTTGACTTGATTTGACTTGAAACGTCCTAATGCCGGCTTGCTTTTACGCATAATGCTTATCAGTAGTACTCCACACTATCTGATGAGCATTACCACTTGCATGAATACGTGTTACTCATTGTGTCTATAACCACTGTGAATGTTTCTTCGGAGGTCCGCGGTTTCAACGTCAATTTAACTCAGTTCAACATCTGATTGTCCTCAAACACAGCTTTTTGCCATCGAAGTGAATTTCCTTCGCTTTTCTCTCAGTTCGTGCAAAGGTGACGCCAAGCTAATAAATTTCTTAACGAATCTACCGTGGTATCCGGCGCGGTCCAAAATGTCCTATGAGTTCGTTTTAAGGCCGAAACTAGGGTGTCTCAAATTACGATTATTTTCCCTGGCTGCGGTTTGTGGTCATCTAGAGCCACCTTGTGACCATCAGTGTCACGACTGTTTTCTCGATCTGAGATTTTTGACACACTTATCCGTAATCCCGGCTGCCGAGTTTTTTTCGCTACCTTGCTTCCAGATGACAGTAGTGTTCTGTCACTTTAGGTGATTATCGCCTTCCTCCACCCACCATCACTAGCGGGGACATCCATGGGAGCGTACTCGACCCTTCACTTTTCCCGCTCTCCATCAACGATATCACTACTTCTGTACTACATTATCGTCATTTTTATTCATTGACGATATCGTGATCGTCTATATGCTTCACTGAGGACTTGCATTCTCTTCATTCATGGTGCCACATGTGTATGTAGAGCCTTTCGGTTGGGAAATCAAGCATTATACCATACGCCTGTTCCATCCCCAAAGGATCTATTGAAGTAAACAATAAGCATATCCCTACACAGCTGTTCACGCGTTGTATCGGGATTATGTACTCATGTACCTTCAATTCCTCCGAAAAGGTTCAATACCAAGTAGCACAAGTCGGACAACCTGTGTTTAATACATCCAACAAATTCCTCGCAACCCATGTTAGAAGTGAGCTATTCAGCTGTTCCTCCGTTCTACCCTCGATTACTGGAACACAATATACGATAATCTGCTGAAAAGCGACAGAATTACTGTGGAACACTTGCAGAGTTCATTTTCTTAACGCTTGATTGGGAAGCCCTCTACAATGCATTGTCGTATGTTAAGGGGTCCTGCCCATAGCAACCTTCGGAGCGGGGAACAGTTTGATCCTGAAGTAGCCGGAGGCTTGTTGGCCAGCCAATGAGACGAAGTTTAGCCTTGAAGGCTACCAATGGGAGTGATCTACCTTGGATTTTGCCATTGAGCGTATCATTTCAGCAATCAACAATTGAATCTGCTTTGTCAACGGTCACAGTGCTCACATTGACTAAAGTTCACCTCGTTGTGAATGGTAGTCCACATTGAGATTGCGCGTCGCGATCCAATCACACAACGTGCATTCCCAAGTGGCCCTCTAATCGGGCATCCAGTTGTTTCTGTAATCCAGTATTTGCTTGTATATACTGTGTGCTTTGTGTTCCGTAATGTTTTCGCCCGTGAGCTTTGTCTTCTGGTCTGGGAAGCTGGTCGGTCAGTTTGCGCAGTTGCAGCAGGTTATCCGTACTGTCAGCGGAAACCACAACAGATTTTGGCGATGCAGGGGAACACAATCAGGATGTCAATTTCATCAGAAAATCTTCGAGCCGTTTTGTTACACTAGCAGCGACAATTTGAAACTGCACATCTGCGAATTACTGAGATTCTTATCCGAATGTTATCTCTTCAGTCCACACGAATCTCGAACACTGGAAAGTTTCAACGAACGCACTGATCAGCAGCGTTAGTTGCTTTTTGATCCTGATTCAGGCCTCATATTGCATGCCTGGTTCAAGTGCTATGAAACTGATTTTCGGATAAACTTATCAAGTCTTGACGACGCTTAGAACATTTGATGACACAGTTGACCTACTCACAGAAATGTTTGGAGTCCAGTGTTTATTTTTCACAATCAGTACAGTTGTTTAAAGCCTTACAAGCCTCCGTTTTATGGCTCATGCAGCGACAGTAAAGTGTGCATGTCAGGAATTCCGACTGATGCCGCTTATCAAGAATCAATTCAAATGCCTTATATTGGTGTACTGTTTGCAGTTCCCCGTTTCGGAGGTTTTCATCTTGTGAGATGATGCTTTTTCAGTAAACATATCTGCCATAAATGACTTAGACATGGTCACAGGGAAGCCCACTAAATGTCCAAACTACCGTACAAACCGGCATATTCTACACGAAAACCAGATCACCCGAGGTTTACATAAAGAGTTGGCACCAACTTCACCGACTTTGTTAAAGACAGAATAACATTTGTCCATATCAGTATTAACGGGCGTCTAGCACGTTTGCGAATTAGTACTGCATCTGACATTACAGCCATTTCGGAAAATCTGGAAGACTGATGGTACACCCGGCATTTAATCGACCGGCCAACTAGCGACGAGCGCATCAGGCAGCAAGTTGAATTTGATCAGCCAGATTGCATATGAAGGTCGCTTTGCTATTTTCACCGCTTTGGGTAACATTTTGTCCCAAGTCACGAAAACTTGAACTTCGTTGGGTTCGATTGGGTCGAACTTTCCCATCAATCAGGTTTTTTCTTATCGTACAGCCTTACAAGACGTAAACATTAAAAAAGGACGAACTAACTTCCTGGCTGATGGTGACAGTTGTGGGAACGAGTTTACGCTAATTTCTTTGGTCCCGTGAATGCTCATGAGTATCCGATCGTTCTTGGCTCCTCCACATGTGACCTGATATCTTCTGCATGAAGCTACAACAAGTCGTGCGACAATTAACGTTCTGAGAAAACTTCAGCCAGCACGAAATAAGTGGTATCTTAGTCACCGATCATGGTTCCCAGTTCCTCTCTTCCCAGTATACCGAGTTTTGCGCACAGAACGGTATCAGACATCTATGGTCACCGCCGTATCACCCATAGTCAGACGGGCAAGCGGGGTGTTTCGTCGACACTTTTAAACGATCGCTACGGATAATGAAGGGGGAAGGAACTACGCAATAGCTACTAGACCCTTTCCTGCTAGTGTCTGGATCAACCTTGAACCTCCAGGTGCCAAATCAGTTGTCGCCAATAGAGTCACTAGTTGGAAGACAAATCCGTACTGTAAATTCTTTGCTGCTTCCGAGGCTTACTACCACGCAAGAAGGGAATTCGCATCTGCGAGGTACTGCGATAAGCGACACAATACTCAAGCACGTCAGATTTTCCCAGCACAATATGTTTCGGTCAGAGACTATCGCATGGGAACTCCTCAGTGCGTGATAGGATCGATCCAGATGAGACGTTGTCGGGTACTCTATGAAGTCAGAGTGGGTACTTTGATTTGGACCAGGCATGCTAATCAGTTGAGACGAACTAGAATCCCTGCGAACACTAATAGTAATCGACCGCTATTGCTAGATGTCATACTGGACAGTTTCGATATGCCATGGAATAGGCAGAACGCTTCGGATGAATATCGCACATAAAATTCAGAAGAGCCAAAAATGCAACCACTACGCCGGACTGATCTGGTACGGAGACCCGTCGTCAGAATGTAATCATATCCAAGAAGGAAGGTGTTAAGGCCGCCCACACCCCTGTAATACCAACTCGGAACAGTTGACCCTGAAGCATTCCGATGCTTATTGGCCAACCAATGAGAGCTTGGTTAATGATAAGGTTTCACCTTGATCACTACCAATGTGCGTGATTTGCCTTGAGACCTGGTATCATTTCAGTAATGAACAAGTGCATTATCAGGCATATAGCAGTTGCTGAACTCCAGGAAATTCCACCTAGATCATTCTCCTGTGAACTATTTACTTAACCCCATTTTTTGCTTTATATACTGTGTGCCGGGTGTTCAATACAGCTTTTGCCTGAGA